CCAGGCACCAAGAGGAGGCAAAACCAAGGGCTGGGTCTGCAGTCACCAGGGCTGGGATGTGTTTTCAGCTCGAGGAGTGGGTCCATTGGGACCTCATGAGGTTCAACAAAACCAAGCACAAGGTCCTGCATCTGAGTGTGGGCAACTCCTGGTATCAGTCCAGGCTGGGGGATGAAGGGATTGAGAGCAGCCCTGCCAAGGAGGACTTTGAGTCCTTTCCAGTGTCTAAAGGGGCTCACAGGAAAGATGAAGAGGGACTCTTTATCAGGAATTGTAGTGATAGGACAAGGGATAATGGTTTTAAACGAAAAAAGGTTAGATTCAACCAGTAATAAGGAAGAAAACTTTTACAATGAGCGTGGTGAAACACTGGCACAGGTTGCTCAAAGACGTGATGGGTGTTCCATCCATGGAAACATTCAAGGTCAGGTTGAATGAGGCTTTGAGCAGCCTGACCTAGTTGAAGATGTCTTTCCCCATTTGGACTAAATGACCTCTAAAAGTCCCCTCCAACCCAAACCACTCTGTGATTTCCTCGTGGAGGCACAATCTTGTTATGATGCCATTTATTTAGGACAATGTGTCCTCAACAAGGCTCTTGCAGTTTGTCCCCTAGAGATTTGTCCCTTTGGGCTGAGCTGGGGCTAAGCAAGGCTGCAACACTCTTTGTTGCACCCTGAAGAAATGCACAACCAGAAGAGCTGGAGAGCCTGAAACCTCCAATGTCTAGTTGTCGTGAGGACACTCACGACTGATTTAATAGTGTGAGACTCAAAGTGAACTGATTTATTTTAAGCTCACTGAGACCAAGTTTGCCTGGCTAATGCATCCTGACTTTTAGATTGAAGACTTAAATATCATGAGACTTTGGACAGATTCTTTGGAGGACACACGGCTAGGGGGAGGAAACCAGATTCAAAAATAATACCTGGAATTGTTTCAATAGTGCTATATCTGATCTTACCAGGACCAAGGGAGCAGCCAAAGTGTGGCCATCTGTTTCCGCTCCCCCCTGCCCTCCTGGCTCACTTCAAACCACCCCCCCCAGCAGAAAAGGCATCGAGCATCCCGCAGAGGAAGGACAATTCAATAAACCTAAACCCAAAAAGGAACACTTCATTTTAGCAGAGGAAGCTGTAGTGATGTGACTCACTCGGTGGCTTTTGAGGCTCTCCCCCACCTTCCAGCACTGTCACTCAGAGGTTATTTTTGCGTTTGCCCTCTGACAACCGTGCAGCCCTCGAGCCACGTGGCTCTCCAAAACGTGAGGGTGGTTAAAGGCATCTTTGGGGTTGCTGCCTGCTGGGCTGAGCACACTCACAGGTTGGGATGTACGGGAGCCATCAGGGATCGTGCACCTCCAGTCCCTCGTCTCTGGGACAAAGCATATGGCAGACAGGCAGAGTTTTGGCTCTGCTTCTCCCTGCTCCTGACTCGCCAGGTCCCCTGCCAGGGACATGCCTGGCCAGCCCTGTCCCTCCAGACGGGACACTGGGAGAGGGATCACGCTTGTCAGACTCAGTTGCTTCCCCCACTGCTCCTGGGAAACCTGTCCCACCTCCCATCCTGGCCACCCTTTGCTGGTCTGGGTAATGTTTTCTTATTGTGGTTTGGTCACAGAGTCCTTCCTTTGTTCAATTTGGCCACTGCTTAGGGAAGCCTCCAGAGAAAGCCTTCATAGGAGCATCATCCGTAGCCCTGGAGGTGAAGGTGGCCACTGTGGCCATGCTGGAGGCAGCTCAAGTGGCAAATATTCAGTGGAGATTCATCTCACACCAGCTCAAGGGCTTTGGCAGCCCCAGTGGCTGCTGCACACAGAGAAAGGAAGGTGCACAGCAAGAGCCAGGGCAGCTCTGTGACACAGACTCCTCTCAGACAGAGCCACTCTGAGCAGCAAGGCGGGTTTATCAGGGAATTTTCTGCTGCCATCCCAAGCCAATTCCCCACCTGAGCCCACCAAGACACTGCACTGCTGCACCCTCCTTCAGACAAGTGCTGAAATAGGACCTCAGGGATGGTCTTTTCAGGACTGCCCTATTAAGCCATCTGTATGGCCACACTGGCAGTAGGACCATACTGCAACACAATATGTTGCCTCGGCGCAGGAAACACACTCACAGAGCCCCCCAGCACTTCAGCTGAGGGGGATTTTTCTGCCTTTTCCATCAGCCACCGCTGTAAAGCTGCACTGAGAGGCAGCTCCATCCCCCAGCAGGAAGCTGTGTCTCATTAGCAGAGGTAAACAATTCCTCTGAACGTGACGAGTCAGGAGAGCATATTAAATATGTCACTATCTCAGGGTTTCTTAATCCCTACTCCAGAACAGCGTGTTGAGGCAGGAGAGGACCCCCCAGTGTGGCTCAGAGTTCCAGCACACCCCAGCTGGCATCCCCCCCCCTCTTTGGGGGGATGGTGGGGAGCACCTGGGCAGGTGCCCTCACCCTTCAGCCTCCCCCACCCAAGCAAGCCTGAGCACTCCATTTATTTCCCTTGCTCAGCTGTCACAGCTGCGAATAAAACAATGATAAAACCTATCCAGCCACTTGCCTTTAAAACATCAACCAGCACATCTGCTCAGTACCAGAATCACAGAATCAACTTTCATGCTTTGGGGTGGGCACCACACCGGGGCTCAGCAGCCCTGGTTCCAGCCCTTCCTCCTGGCACACACAGAGGTGGCAGAAGCCACACACTGCTCAAGTTCAGGCTGTAACAGGAGGAGCAAAAGCCACACATTGCTCAAGTTCAGGCTGTAACAGGAGGAACAAACCCCAGCGCAGCACTCGCAGCTTTTCCGTCAGGCAGGTGCGTGTCAGAGCAAGACAGTGCTGAAAACAGTTTGAGTGTTGACCTGTTTTCTGATCTGCTTTCCCTGGCAGCCTCGTGCACACACACACACACACAGACAACGTGTGCTGTGTTTACAGGAGTCCCCTTGTCTCCCCAAGGCTGTCACTGTCTCCCCTGCAGACGATCCTGGTGCTCACGTGCAGATCAGTTCCTCGCTGTTTTGTTTTATCCCCCGTGCTGGCGGAGCAGCCTCCTGCCTTATTTACAGTGCATTACTCACACGCTGCTCTGAGCACGGAATTATTTATGCCCTCCTGAGCTTTTCAGGGCTCCTGGGTGCCGTGGCCTCCGCTCTCTTTGCAAAGCTCAGCGCGTGGCTCCGAGCTGGGGGGAGGCACCCAAGGCCCGTTTTACAGGCACAGAATGGAGAAGCTCTAAGTAGTTCCCAAGACCTTTGGTTGCCCAGCTGGCAGTGGCAAAGCACAGATTTTCCAAAGCACCTTATGTTACGCAGAGGTTTCCATGTTCAAAGCACAGCCCCAAAGCTCCCTTTTGCACCCGTTTGTACAAGCCAGCTCCCCTCCTCTGCTTTGCCTGGGGTATACACAGGGCACCCTAAAAGCAGGTCACAAGCATTCAGACTCCAGCAGTTTCCCAGATCAAAGCAAGCCACGGTGCAGGGTCAGTCCCCAGTGCCATGGACACAGGAGCAGCCTCTTCCCAAGCCTGCAGCAGGGCTCTCCCAGTCCAGGGACACAACCAGCCTGCAGAGATCCCAGCCCTGCATCTCGATTTTCGGAGCCCCCAGCTACCAGCACGAGCTCCCTGCACCCCAGCACAGCCCCAGCACTGCAGGAGGTCTCCAGAGAGGGGTAGGAACACACTGATCCCCCCAAGCAGCACCTTCCCATGGCCCAGCCACACACAAGGCACCCACAAACCAAACCACAGCACCCGGCTCGGTCTTACCTTGTAAATCCACTGTGCTTGGGAGGGACAGACCTCACACCCCAGCAGGCTCCTCACCTCCAGCCAGAAGCTCTGAGCAGCTCCAGCTGCTTTATCACCTCCTCCTCCTCTGCCAGGTGCTTCTGCCTCCCTGACAAGGGTCCCACTGCAGCAGAGCCTGCTGTTGTACCAATGCCTCTCCCTCTCCAACCCTTTGGATTTTAAGTCTGAGAGGGAGGTAAAGTGACAGCAAAGAGATGCTTCATATGCAAAAAATATTTGCATTGTGTTGCAGAGTTGATCTGTGGTCTGTACCCACTATAACACAGGCCTGCATTATCCCCAAGGAAGGTCTGACTCACACTCACTCCTGGAGGCAGAGGCTGCAGGGCAAGTAATGTTGGGCTTTAACACACATGTGGATGAGCAATAAACCCATTGGCACAGCTAATAACCCTGGTGCCCACCTCCAGAGCTTCCACCTTCATGCTATGTCCTGGTGCAGCTCAGCACACGGATGTGTACGTGTGTCCCTGCAAAACGCTCCAGCTTGGCCGTGCACTGTCATTTGTGGGCAAAATGGGGTGGCTGTTCCTTTTCTCCCATTGCGACATTTTCACCTGGATGGGATGAGCCATCCTTCCCTCCATGGTCCCTGCAGGCAGGAGAGGACCGTGGCACTGGGAGCACAAATCTCTGCTCTCCCAGCTACTCCTCAGTCCTGTCCCATCTTGGAGCTGGAGAAATTTGGTTTCCCTCCTCTAGCCATGCTCAGTGGTACAGGGGGGATGGTGTGTCCCCAGGATTTTTGGCATCAGGAGCCATGAGAGGCAGGGATGTGTTTGGGGGATTTAAGCCATGCAGTTCTTCCAAGGCAGAGCACAGCTTTCCATAGGCTTGTAAATTGGCCAAGCTTAACCGAAGTTTCCCAGAGACCATCTCAGGGAAGGTGCTTTCTATGAAAATTGCCCCTGTGCCAAATTGAAAAGCCCTTTCCCAGAGGGCCTTTCAAAGGAAACAGCTCAGCCGTTCTTACAGTGGAGGCAAAGCCGCATCTTTCTGCCTTAAATTCATTCTCAGAAACAGCTTCCTGCAGAGCCAGGCCCGTGGCACTCTCCAGTTCAGCCCAGCAGTTAATGTTTGACACGAGCAGCCAGATCCAGGGCCCGGTAACGGTGTGAGCTTGGCTGTGATGCCCACACAATGCCCACGCGATGCCCAGGCTTTGCCTTCTTCCCCGGTGACCGTTGTTGTTGTTCCAGGAGAACCCGTACCTGTGCAGCGATGAGTGCGACGCCTCCAACCCGGACCTGGCCCACCCGCCCAGACTCATGTTTGACAGCGAGGACGAGGGGCTGGCCACGTACTGGCAGAGCGTGACGTGGCGCCGGTACCCGGAGCCGCTGCTGGCCAACATCACCCTGTCCTGGAACAAGAGCATCGAGCTGACGGACGACATCGTGATCACCTTCGAGTACGGGCGCCCCACCATCATGATGCTGGAGAAGTCGCTGGACAACGGGAGGACTTGGCACCCGTACCAGTATTACGCAGACGACTGCATGGAGGCCTTCAGCATGCCAGCACGGAGGGTCCGAGACCTCTCCACCACCAGTGCCAACAGGGTCCTCTGCACGGAGGAGTATTCCCGCTGGGCGGGCTCCAAGAAAGAGAAGACCGTCCGGTTCGAGGTCAGGGACCGCTTTGCCATCTTTGCTGGCCCCGACCTCAAGAACATGGACAACTTGTACACCCGGCTGGAGAGCGCCAAAGGGCTCAAGGACTTCTTTACCGTGACTGACCTGCGGATGAGGCTGCTGAGACCCGCCCTGGGGGGCACCTACGTGCAGAGGGAGAACTTGTACAAGTACTTCTATGCCGTCTCCAACATTGAAGTCACCGGCAGGTAACCGCTGCTGTATTTCTTTGGGCGTCTCTTCTCTGAGGGATGAGAAGTTACTGCTAGTAAACTAAGCCATCAGTGTTTCTGCAAACAGTGTTTCTCCCTCTGACAGCCCTTCTCCCCAGGCAGGGCAGCACTGGAAATAAAACAGATGTGTCCTTGTAGGGAATGGCTGGGACACCTCCGAGGCTGTGTCTGAGAGCAGGGCTGTGTCCTCCTGCAGCCGGTGCTGGGGGAAGTGGGACATGGCTTAGATGGACAGTTGGGGTCTGAATTCCCTCCCAATACCCTGTCCCCAGCTGTGCAAACACAGCCAGAAGTCCCAGGGGTGATGCTGATGCATCTGGAGGGCAAGGAATGATGCTCATCCCACTAAACTCCAGCTCACTGCCAGTACAAGCAGGATGGGTCATCCCGAGTCAGCCCAGCACCCCCTGAGCGGCCTCGGCTCCGGCAGAGGAAGTTTGGGGTGAGGGTAAACCCTCCAGGCAGATCTGGGGCAGGGCAAGCGGGTGGGGGGTGTTTCTCCTGGGTTTTGTTTTTAATTTCTCTGTACGGTGCCATATGTTACGTTATGACATCAACCGAAAAAGCAAAGTAAGGTGGAAAAGTGCCGAGATGGCTGATTTCCCATCCAGCTTGTGCGAGACTTACAGGCGAGAGGGGAGAAATCTCCCCATCACCCACCCCGTGCTAACAAGCATCACCACAGCGACAGAGGAGCCGTTTGTATCGGTTCCAAACTGTTTGCTACTGAGACTTGCAAGTAGAAATGTTTTGCAGGTGCCACTGAGGCTGGCTTTGAACAGGCTCCAAGGGGAAGGAAGCTGCAGCGAGGGACGGGAGAGCCCCTTCCACCCGCCAGGGCAGGCAGGAGGCAGCGGTGAGGGTCTTTCTCACAGTGTGGTCGCCTGTCTGGGACGAGCAGCTGTGGCTCTCAGCTGGACTGGTGGCATGTTGGGGTGCCCACTGCTGGGATTGCTCAGGGAGAAGCCCTGAGGGGCTCAGGCACATGAGCAGAGGAGTGGCAGAGCCCAGGTTTCAGTGCAATGTGCTTCTGTGTAGATATGTGCTGCCCATAAGAAGCATTGCCAGGTGTACTAAATATCCACAGTCCAAAACCAGCTCAGGATGCAGCAAAATAGCAAAGTAAGGAGGGTGGAAGGGAAGGAAAGCAGGCAAAAAAGGCAAGGAAAAAGGCAAGTGCGTTACCATCACCTCCACCCCAGTGACAGCCAGTCCTGTCCCCTGCTCCTTCTCTTGTGGCCCTGCTCCCCCCCAGGTGGCCCAGCTGCCCACAGGAACACTTGATGTTACTGACAGTGGTGGCAAAACCACAGGGGTCAATCCCCAGTCAAAGCCCACACTGACCAGAGCATCTGGCAGGAAGGGTTGGAGCTGGTGTACCAACTTGTCTGGGCTGGTTAGACTCTGTAGCAGGGACACAGAGTTTTCAGCCTAGAAAGTGGTAAATTAGGACTAAAGGTTTGATGTCAATGCTTGTGCAATGACCTTTGGCTTCTAAGCATGGAGATAACTGCAGATAACCAAGGACTTGTTGCTGCTCCTGCAGCAGCTGCAGGATACTTAATGCTTCAAAGAGGTAAAATACTCTTGGTGTCCTGTGAATGTGATCCTCCTCCTCCTCCCTTTACCTTCCCTGTCTGGCTTGGGCAGCACTTGTTGCTTCAGTGCTTTGGATTTCAGGCCATGCTGACAGGATTCTCCCCAAACCAGCACCTTGCTGTTGGCTGCCCTCCTTCCCCCCCACCCAATCCCTCACCAGCTTTTGAACTCACCAGCCAAGTTTAACACCATTTAATAGTAGCAGCCATCGGTTCAAGAGATTAAAATCCAAAAAAATTCTGCGAAAAGAACTAGGGCAGGGGGAGGGAAACCCTTTCAAACACCCAGGGCTGGGGTGGGGAGGGGGGTTGGGGGTGTGTCACAACCTCTCGGAGACATCCAAGATTCCACAGCCACCTGCACCTCGAGGACAGGGCTGGCGAGGGAGGGCCGGGCTGTGAGCGCCCGGTGGAAGCTGCAATGCTGCTTTTTAGCTGGGGCCAGGATGAGACAGGTTGGGGTTTGTTGGCTGGTTCCTGGCAGCCTCCCCCCGGCGCTGGCTCTGTGCCGGTGTGGCCGGCTGCCCACGGCTGCTGCAGAGCAGCGGCTCCCGCTCTCCTCCACTTCCCTCTTGGCTCCACTCACCACGAGCTGCCTGACCCACTCCTCCCATGCAGCAGGGCCTCTGGGAGGACAGGGCTTTTCCTTGGCTGGGAACACAGAAAACTCTGAAATCTGCTTTTTTTTTCAGCCCAAACTCCCAAGTCTTGAGCTGCAGCAAGACCCAGCTTTGCTCTGCTCCAGCTCTCCCAGCTTGCTGGGATGGTTCCTGGGAGAGTGGGACACAGCTTGGACAGGGAAAAGGTTGATGCCTGTTCTGTGCTGACTCTTCCAGCCCCAGTGGGCACTGGGCAGGGAAAGGTGACTGGCTGAGGAACTGTGGATAAGTGGTGTATAAGATGGAGAAGCCTCATGTGAATTAACTCTGCTCCTGTGATTATTCCAGTCCCAGCAAGCAGGTTTCTCACTGAAAAGCAATCTAATTCCAGCTGTAAGCAAAGCCAGTTACAGTGCAGGGACTAAAACCAAATTAAATCTTGTGTATGGCTCAACAAGGGATGGGTTATTGAGAGGAAGAGAGGAGAAATCAATGTGAGCCTGACAGGAGCCCTGTGCAGGGAAGGGGGGAGGAAAGGTAGGCAGGGATGGGGATGGACACACAGTGCCACTTGCAGCATGTGGGAACGACTGTGTTTGAGGAACGGAAGGAAAGTTCCTAGATAAAACTGGAGTGGTGTTAGGGATCCACTGCAGGGGGCATGGAAACAAGAGGGAAGATGATTATGAAAAAATGAGGGCTCAGAGGCAAAAAGCAGCCAGAAAATTCCACCTGGAGAGCAGAGGTGTGAGCAGCCTTGGGAGGCTGGAGGAGCTGTGCCCGGCCATGGTGTGTGGCACTGGAGGAGCAGTGTGTGCTGTCAGAGCGTGGCATTGCCTCTGTCCCTGCACACCACCAGGATTTTGGCAGCAGCTGGCAGTGCCCACGGGGTGATGAGACACTTGGCAGCTTGTTTCTAGTTGATGTTCACAGTCAAGGGAAGAGTAAAACGCTTTGCCCTCAGAGCAGACCATGAGCCGGGGCAGTTTCTCGTGCTGCAGCCTTGGCTGGTGGATTCAGAGAGGTTTCTGTGATCCCCTCACTCCATGTGCTCCTGGGCCCCCATCCAAGCCCACCCTTTCCTTCACACCTCAGCCTCCCACCACAGAAGACCTCTCACCACAGTCTCCCAGAACTTCGGGGAAAAGCAGAAAGGGACAGAGCAAAGGACATGGGGACAAGGGGGAGGAATTCTCTGCCTTCTTCCAAAAGCCAGATGGACTGGGGTGGTCAAGAGTTTGACAGAGGATCTGGTGAATCCAGGGGGTCACTGCTTCTTCCCTGGGAGCTGGTGCAACGGGCTGGTGTTTCAGGGTCTCCTCTGCATCTCCTCCTCCCACAGCCTCAGTCGGGTCCATTTCTCCGTTCATGGCTGACAGTTTATTTTTACTCTCTTTCTTCTTGGTATCTTTTTCTTTTCTTTTCTTTTTTTTTTCCTCTCTTCTCCCATCCTGTCCCTATTGATCCGCGGAGTAACCGGAGACGCAGAAGAGTCAAGACAGGAATAGACACGAGCGAGCCCTTGGCCTGTGTGCTCTGTGTGTGTGTGTGTGTGCCAGGCAGGGTGGGGAAGGGAAGCGGAAAGACTTTCCCCCACAGATCTCTGCCCATTGCTTCGTTTTCTCCTCGGTGCAGCAATGAGCTCGGTCATCTCCTCGGGAACGGGTGAATGAGCTTTCCCCGGCTGCCAGGGCCGGTGCGATGAAAGCCGCTGCTTCTCTTTCCATTACACGCTGAGTCTCTTTGGAGTAATTTTTTCCCCTCCATAACGTCAGTCACCGCCGTGCTCAGCAGGCCAAGCTCCATCACGGAGACATTAATAAGCTGTAATTGAAGTTAATGTGCCATGGCCGGGACATGTGGATCCAGTTAGGAGAAATCACATTGAGCAGAAGCGAATCAATTTTAGGCTGATTTATATTAGGATTTCTCTCCTTTATCCTCCCCTGCCCCAATGCATGCACTGTCTGTCTGTCTGTCCATCCTGCTGGTGATGAGCAGTCCCTGGAGGAAGGCAGGAGGAGGGAGTGTTCTTTGTCCCTGAGCAGCTCCATGGAGCAGTGCCTCCTCTCGGGCTGCACTCAGGCCCAAGAGGGACCAACAAGATGAGGTTTCCAGTTTTGTAACAGCATTTCCTTTCCTCTTTTCTTGCTCTTCTGATGGTTTCCTTGGCTGCTGCTTTGGTTACACAAAAGAATTGAAGGGAAAGGCTCTTTGTGCTCCCCTCCTTCTTTCCCTACTTTCCCCTTGTGTGCTCTTGGTGCTGTGCTCGGATGCTCTTCGGGAGGCTCTTTGTGACTTGGAGAGTTTGTGCTAGTGGAGCAGACCAACTTTGCCCAGTCTCCAACAGCCAGGATCAGGCACTCCAGACCTGGAGGATCAAGGCCATCCCCAAAACCACCCCTTGCAATAAATGGAGCTGGTTGATTGTCAGTGGTACCCACATGCAATGGATGTATTTTTCTGCATTCATGGTCAGTTTTGAGGCGTAGGGATGCTCGATGCTGCATTGCTGTTAAAGATGAAGCAGTTTCTGCTTGGCCTGGTCACTGTCTCCTCCTCTGCCCTCCTGGCCAGCACATTGAAGCAGCTCAGTGAACTTCCCTGCAGTTGTAGCTCAGCTTAAACCAGGGGTGCCAGAGCAAAGTGCATCCTGGCAGCCTCTGGGCTGCTTTGCCCTGCTTGGACATTCCTCCTTCTGGCTCTGCTGAAGTTGTTGGAGACCCTCCAGCTGATCTTGGCTTCTCCAGCAAAGGTGTCTCTAGAAAGGAGAAAAGAA